TCTATTTTCAAAATTCAATATATAAATAAAAATAAACTTTAGCTTTCTTTAAAAATTTAAAAACTTTTCTATTATATATTAAATTAAAAATAGTAACCAGATTTATTCATTTTATAGATTACTACTCCCCTTGCCTTCAGAAATACTATAGCTTTTTTTCAACCTTTTTAATCTCTTTAAAATTAGGGTTTTTTTAATTCAATATAGAAGCCTGAATTCGAAAGCTTTTTGAATTCTAATTTCAAATAAATAAAATTCAATTGAAATTCTCTTAATTCCTTTTTTCAAATTTCTGAAAATCCTAGAATTAAGCTTAAAAGAAGTAATAACTAATTAAAAAAATTTAATTGTTATTTTTTACAAATTACTATCCCCTTGTTTTTTATAAACTATTATAGTTTTTCTTTTATCTCATCAAATCTATCTTTTATTATGAATTCTATAAATCATTTAATTTAAAAGATATTTTAATTCTAATTTTGAATAAATCTAATTTAATTGAATTTCTATTAATTACTTTTTTCAGATTTTCGAAAAACTTCAAATTGAGGTTAGAAAAAATAGTAACCAATTGAAGAGTTTTGATAGGGTTATTATCCCTCTATCGAAATAGGTTATTACCAATAGTAATCATTAGAAAAGTCCGTGGAATAATAGTTAGAGATTATTTAAAAGAATGTTGCAAACTAAATTGATTTCAAAAGTAGACTACTTTCTATTCGGAATCAGAAGATTCAGAATCACCTGAAGACGATGCTAAAGAGGTTCAAGATTGTTTCTTTCTTTCATTAGCAAAATCTGCGAAACGTCTTTACGATCTTTGAATCTCTCCTGTGTACCAGGTAATGCGATTCCGGATGGTATGGGTTCTAATAAATTTGATTGCTAAGATACACATTGACAATACATTCTTCAAATGAAATTCATCATATAAATTTGGAAAGAGTGTAACATTCTGACGGACTAAAACTCATGTACGTAAGGAAAGTACAACCAGATCGTAATATGTTCAACAATACTTACGCCTCCAACCTCTGTAGAAATAACTCCTGTAGCTCTTAGACTTCTGTAATACCTCATGATTCTAATCAGTTTAGTCCCAAGGCATACTGCCGTCCCGAGGAGCGTGGATCGAGATATGGCTTCTCGCTGCACCCACAGAATCGGTTTCCCACTCGCTTTGCCGTGTAGTCAAAGGTAGCGCACTGTTATCGAATGATTCTTGTTAGTTCATTTCCTATCGTATCATCACGCAAACAAAAAACGAAAGACACTAGAGAAGAGGAAGATCATACATGATACACCGCCCTGTTGTCCCAGTCGGTGGCAGAGCAATTTCTGATCGGCGATTGTCAAATTTTTCTGTCCAGGGAAGACGCATACGTCACGTTGAGAGATAGTAATGGCTAAGTCGCGAATTGCAGCGTCGCATTCTTGCCCTCCTGATTGCAAAATCTTGGAAAGGTCGATGTCGTCAAAGGCTGTGCCTATCAAGGGAGTGAGCTTTCTTTGCTGATAGCGTGAGAGAACCCCAGTCAGCTGGAGTGGTGAGAGGTACTTCTGGAATATCAGAGGTCTGTAACTGCTCACTGCAGGTGCAGTGGTGGTCTCGGTCAACGTAGTTGTGATTGCCATTGCGGAGGTTTGGAAAGATGCTTTGAAATGAGTCTACACAAGAACGAGCTCATAAGAATACTTTTGAGTTGGCTGAATGGCGAGAGTCGCTCTATTTAAGAGAATTTGGAGGTATGAATCTTAAGGGCAAATCAAGGAAGGATGTCAACTCTGAGCTTCAACTGTCAGAACTTATCTTATCCTCGTCTGTGAGATATAAAGAACTTAGAAAGTGTATTGCAATATTCTGGATTAGAAGCGGGCTTAAAGAGCCATTTAAATGGTTCTTGAACAGACTGTCAACCGGGCCATTGTTCAGAGCTTTACGGATCACTCAATAAGGTGTAGCATCACATGGTCATAAGAATAAAATGAGGTTATTCAGAACATCGGCCGAAGCACCGAATGCTTCACAGTATCTAAAACTGAAAGTTAAAACATCCTAGTTCGTGGTTGCCCGAAAGATCGTAAGAAACTACTAAGAAAGCACGTCAGTGCATGGTGCCAGGATTTAATCGCCTACTCTACGTCCATTTGACCAATGGGGATACTATGATCTGGAATGAAAGGTATGTGAGCGTTAACAAACTTTCTACAATTCTTCGGGCATGTACAAAGTACAGGACATAAGATAAGACATTTGGTGTGCATGGTACTGAATGCAACAGTAAATACGGACGGAAAAAGCAGCTGCAAGTACACTGGTTATCTTGCATTGTGGGCCATATGCTAACGGGGATCTACACTCAAGGATGCTCAGCTGCCATGTAATAATTGCCGTAGTAATTGCCATCCAAATGCAGATTGAAGTGCTAAATAAGACTCCGTCTGAATCAAGAAGAGAAATTAGACCGATTATCTTGCATTTCATATCAAGAATTCTATCCACAAGGAGGAGATGGGGCTACGTGGCAGAGACCAGCGGAATTGCCATAACTTTGTACTCACAATTCATGTGCTTATCGTGCTCTAATGACGAGAGATAAGAGTGCCAAGCCGGCTTCGCTTCTTAATGAAGCGAAAAATATATTCAGGGGTATGATTGCTGTTTTTTAACATGTCGTTTCTAGGCTGCGCAAAAATTATCTACATTCGAAAGTGATCTATACTTAAATATCCCCGGAGGTTACTTATTGAAAGCTTTGCCTACGTTACAGATTATCCATTGAAATTCTATCTACACTGAAGGTCATTTTTAGACAATCCACAATCCCTGCTTTGAATTGTATTTGAAGCTTTTCTTAGATCATTGTAAGCCTAAAAATGATCCAAGTGTAAATGATCTGCAGATAATTAGACAATCCACAGAGGAGTAAGTACCGGCATATAATGTACAAATACTCCACGGATTACCCGGTTTAAAAATTTGAATCACATACTTTACAACGGATTATTTGCTAGGATCATTGTCCGCCCTGTGGGTACCCGTTGCATGGCCTAATCATTTTTTTTACATATTAGGTCGGCGGTTTCTGAAAGCATACTCATTAAACTGTAACGCGGGGCTGAAGATTCCCATGTACCGGCTCCTTAACCTGGCTCCCCGTTGAACGTAAATATAATAACAACCTCAAATGTGGAATTTATTTGATCTCAAGCCTTCGGATCTCGAATCTAGAGCTTCTTGTGTTGTTTGACCGCCTTTTTAAAGTTTTGGGAAATGCAAGTAGGGGTTGTATTAAAAGCTTAATAAAGATTAAATGTTCTACAAATCACAAATCGTTAAATGCTATCATACTTGGTCTCGAGGATAAATAAGTAGACCCCTAGTCATTTCATACCAAAATTGAACCTAATGCTGCTTTATTATTTTTGACCAATATGAAAGTTATAAAATCCATCTAGGTTACTATAATTGAGTTGAGGGTGATGGAAACAAATGTAAAAGCAGCCATTTTTATAAGTGATTCTATTGGTTACTTTCTCGAATCTACAAGAATCTCAAATGACTAGGGGTACACTTATTTATCCTCGAGACCAAGTACAATCAGAAAGTACATAGCTCCGGCGTTATCAGAATCGGAGTAATCCTCTTGTAGTTATCTTATGATATATACATCTAGCAACGGAGTTATGTACTTTCTTGTTATACAAGTGGATACCCTGTAGATCCTCTATACGGAGTTGATAATTTTAATGCCCTATAGATAATCTGTAATGTGATTAGAAGCTCTAGCAGTCAACCTGCAGTGCGGGTTATTAACAGATTGTCAAAGTCCGGCGGTTAATAATCGGTTCTCTATGAACCAACCACCTCGTTCCAAGTCGGGGAAGTAAGCACCCCCAGACAGTAAGTGCAAGGATAAAAGTTGTTGATATGTACAAAGGATAACATGCAGTAGTCTCTCTAATCTATGAATAAGGGAAGTATAGACATTAGGCACTTTGTAAGTCGTGGAAATATTAAAGCGGGCCTCTGTCATAAGGCTTGACCGGGGGGGATACGGATAGCCCCACGCCCTACCACTCCCGCGTCCAGAAATACAAGTGCTATATTCTTTTGCAGGATTGGTCGAAAGCTTCCAAGGATTAACAATTTTAGGGCCAATTGACTTGCCTCTACGAGGGCGTGTCTTTGATGATTTCCGGGTCCGTGCGCAGGGACATTTACTCACCAAAATAAGCACAAACTCACCTATTTGGAATTCAATAGCAATTGAAGTAAGCATAATATTTGAAAAATCTTTTTAAATTTGAATAATTTTTTATATCAGGATTTATATATAAATTTGATAAAGTCGGCTTAGTAATATTTATAGAGTTAAATTCATTATAAAAATCACATAGTAAATATTAGTGAGTTCGATTATTTTGCCCGGCAATCATTAAAGATACGCCCTCGTAAATGAAGCAAAATACCCCAAGATAGAAATATTTAATAGGAATACAAAGCAATTAATGGATAATACATCGAATGATCAAATCACACAGCTCCGGTGTTTACTGTAGCCCTAACTCACAATGAGCTTAAATAATCAACCCTTGCAATTATCGATCGATTCTATAAAAGAATATAGTAAAGTATTATAGTCCTCTGATTTAGATAGACATGAGCCCTCTTACAGGACAACGTAATAGGAAGATACAATTTCATATACAATTTTATCAACTTCATAATTCAATCAAAATTTAAAATACAATTTAAATCAATTGAATTGATATTTTGTATTTTTCAATCATTCAAAAATAAAGATTTCAAGATTCATCTCAAAAGAATAAGATCTAAACTCAAAAAACAAATGATACACTCTTCTACTAAGATTTTTGATAGAGAATTATACTTTCTTTTATAAAAACTTCAATTCTCATTATTTCAATTCAACCTTCAAAATTTATACAATTTCAATATTTCAAGCTCATATCCAGTTTTCAAAGAAAGTTGATAAGATTTCAAATTTTAATTAAATTATCAAAATAGCTCTTTTTGGTATGGAATTGTGCTTTTTCTCTTAAGTGTCCCGTGAGTCTGTGCACCCATTCGTGTACGTTGTGTGCAATTATGAAGTATCTGCTTGCTTCCGCAGGGACCACATGAGTCTTTTGGTACCTCCTATAGGAGACCCAAAGCCTGACCACGGGAAATGCTTCCTTCCAACAAGGTAGGAGCCTCACCAACACTTACAACACGGTGAGCGGCGCGGGGCTCGCTATAATCATAAGTGGCAGTGTGGTAGACGGAACGATTATCCCAGATGACAAGATCATCAACGTTCCATTTGAAACGAAGCTACAAAAATTAGCACCAAAAACCGAGTAGTAAGTTCATCAGTACTACACACCTGGAGATCATGGTTTTTTGAAATAAGGTTATTCAGGAAGTCAAGGGTCTGTTGGCTCTCGAGAGGAGTGAGCTCATTGATAAACTGAGCATGGTGTCCAACTGCAAAGACGGATTTCCAACCTGTAACGGGATTGGTGCGAACAACCGGATGGCTAGCAGTGAGGCTTTGGTCAATGTTTAACGGATGGCCTCGCTCAACTTCATATAGAGCTTTGTGCTCTGGGTTGGGCTGATAGCCAACGGGCATGAATGTACAGGTCAAAGTTTCGAGGAATTTTTGATAGGCGGGAGAAATACGGTCATAGACTTCGTAGGCGCTCGCAAACAAGGTGTCACCTGTTTTAGGGTTAGGGTAGGATCATTACGGCTGATTGCTGTCATGCACATACCTCCAGTGGGCGGGATTGTTCTCATGTAAAGAGTAGAGTAATCGGAAGTAACACGCTGTGAGGTCATTCATATTAATGCTAGCTTACTTTAACATCGTTCTCACCACTTACCTCAAAGCCGATATCGTGGTGCCATCCATCTGCTGTTGATTGAATAATCTCCTTTTTCGCACCGCATCCTTTTTGTGTTGAGAGCATCTTTTCAGGGTTGCGAGCAATGGTAGACATCTCGGGATCAGTGGGTCCCCCGAATTCATGTGTCGTATGGTTGCTTGATAGTTGTTAGGTTTAATCTTACTAGATGGATAACAAAGATACTAACATTGGGTGAACGTGAAGACTAGACTCCTTTGGCTTGCCTGTCGCCTCACCCAGCCTCTGGGCCAATTCTTTCTGCTCCTTTGGCGAGAGCTTTTGACTTTTGAAAACAACGACACCTCTCTCAGCAACTATACATAGAAGTTAAATAAGTAAAGTCACGAAAGATTTGACTTCAGGATACACATACGGACAATGCCCAAATCTCTCAATTTGGCCTCTGAGTCTTCAGCGTGTAGAAGATCAGTAACTTGGACATCGATGTATTCTCTCCCAAGCACTCGGGTGATCTCTTGGAACTTCAATCCATCGAGGCTGTTGCCCAGCTGAAGAGGCTGCCTTCCGATAGTTGGAACAATCTTCGTAGCCGTCATCTTGTATTGAAAAGATAAGATCTTGTGTGGTGTATGTTTGTGAAAGAAGTAGATTTTTGAAGTGTCGTTTCTATGGGAATATCGAGCTTTTACACCAAAACGTGGTTTTCTGTTAGAGCCTTATAATCTACGAATTTTCGCCAAGATAACTAAATAGATAACATACATGCTCAGATGAGTCTGTGATTAAATCGGGAAAGTCTGTCCTTGAGTCAAATTGGAATCATGCTTTACAAATTGCCAGCAGCAAAACCTTATTTTTCTTTTCTGTTGGGGGTCAAACAACCAATGATGATAGATCCGGATTTGAGCCATATACTGTATCCTACTCAAACTTACAATCGATGGTCTCCCCGAGTCCTACTATAACATTAGCCTGTTTAGACTCCGGTTGATAATCCTGCTATCTAGTTCTCTTGAGCGGTGTAGTACAGTACTAGTGCACAAGTCTTCACCTTCTAGCTCGTACCCGTGGGCCCGAGTTCAAACTGACAGGCTTCTAGTCCGTAAGACGCAGCTTCTGAGAAAGGGTGAACGCCGGGAGGAATTAATAAGCTTTTGCTTTGAGGGTACTGCGGGCCGGCTCGAGGCTCATTTGTACGGGTTCTACCCGAGTGTACCTTATCGAAGGGCTAGGTGATGCATCTAAGCGCTTGGCGCATACTAATCTGAAACAGGGTGGACATCGAGCAGAATATAAGGTTTTGTTTTGACAGTGAGTGCCGAAAGCCCAGTCCGAAGCCTATCTGTACAAGGTGGGTCCAAGTGAACCTTATCAAAGGGTCGAGTAATTTACTAACTCACTATTTATAATCGCTTCATGCGCTTATTGTATATTAATTTGAGTTTACGGTAGCTTCACAATCATCTCTCGCCGCTCGCACATCAAGAACGAATATCTTACAACCAGTAACCCGAAAAATTCAAGTTAGAAGTATATTTGGCATAGTGGGAGCCTGACCAAAAGACAAGGAAAGAGGAGGGGTATGGGGGGGGTGGAGAGGCTGAAGGGAACGCACGGTTAGTCCCCTATCCCACTCTTTATTATTGTGTGCGCGGCTTATGCATAGACCAAAAGCAGGGATATTATGTTATAACAAGTCATTTTATTGTGAGATTAACTCCGTGAATTCTTTCCAGAATAGTAAAAATAGGCTCTTGCATAGCCCGTAGATAATGCGAAATGGCGCACATAAATAAACGCCGGTATTTGATAAGACAATAGTTTAAACCTCGAGCTGAAAGATCAAAGCCGGAATCGGCGAAAGTAGGGCAAGGCTAAACACTTCTCGATGGATATGTCCTTTACAAAGTATAGAGATCAAACTTCGCAACTAGAGTTTATTTTTTCCCTATCTAGTAAGAGATTTTAAAAAAAAAAAATCAAAGCCTAATCTTTCTATCTAATACCAGCTTTAAAAAAAAAGACTTAAATTAACATCTAGACGGCATAATAATACCTCTGGTCCTTTTTCTACCGCCTAACATCATTCCACCTTTGCAGTTGCTAAAGTTTCTTTTTCTTCTGGGTTTGTCTCGATTGATATTTCTTCGCGCTCATGCTCGATGCCTGTAGACTCCGGTAGGCTTTGCCCTTGAACGGGCTGAAGATTCTGCACGTCAACCACCACTTTCTCATCTTTTCTTTGTAGGCCCTGATCTTTGATAAGAAAGCACCCCAAGAGACAGATAAACATTAGTGGAGTTATAACTATAAAAACAGTTCGAACAGCTTTGTGATAAGAGCCAAGAACCGCCGATTTCTGCTCAGCCGTGTAGGAGCTAAAGTCCGGGAGCTTGTATGCCGATCGTGCCAGATAATGGAATTCTGCAGGAAGATACTGTTTCAATGCTGTTTGCATAATCAAAGAAGAGCAGCCAAGACCAAAGGCACCACCCAATCCGCGTAAGAGGTTACGGTTGGAAATTACCACTGCTCGTTGTGATTTCGTGCAATGCGCTTGTAATGCTATGAGGCCTACAGATGAGAACCTTGGAGTCAGCCATTTTATTCGAATAGTCTTGATAACTCAATGCGATTTTAGTAATATATAAGGGCTCTTTAACATAATCATAAATTGAAGAGAGTGAATTTCATTAAAAGAGGTAATTTTTCGGGGGTCAAGACTTACACGGTTGAAATACGTTGCCTACTCCTACGCCGATAATAGCTAGGACCACACAGATAACAGCTGGGTGTGTATGCTCATCAAAAATTATTAGAAGCCCAGTTCCCCTTAGCTTGTTAGTCAGCCTCTTCATGCCATTTCCAAACTTCATTACTTACAGTGTCCATAAAGTGAATCCGCACCAGATAACTTCACCATATCTACTGTACTTCGAAATATAGAGCCCAGAGCCCACGCTGAAAATCATTTGAGCGAGGAAGAACGGTACTAGAAGAGCAGCAGAAATGATTGCACTATACTCGCGTACATTCTGGAAGTAAATCGGAAGATAATAGATGGCGGAATAGTATGCGAACCCAAATAATAGGTTTTGGATTAAGATGACCGCGACAACTTTGTTCTTGAACATGGATACTAAGGGCACAAATTTCAGTTCTATCAATACAATTAGGAAGAAAACTTACAAGGCATTAACGGGAGGACAGCGACTTTCCATTCGACCAAAAAGAATAATATAGCAGCAACGCCACTGATTGCTAGCATCGCAATTACCATCGCAGATCCCCATGGAAAGTAAACTCCAGCTCCTGAGAATGGTACGAGAAAGAAAATGATAGCGACAGATCCAGTCAGTAATCCATACCAATCAACAAGTTTGACGCTCTCAATAGCATTTCCTTTCGGCATCGTAGATGGCAGCAGGAATATAGAAACGAGGCCGCAAATTGCAGCCAAAGGCGAGAGTAAATAAAAAAATCCCCGCCAGGTGGAATACTCCGAAAAAGCCGCCGACAAAAATGGGCCAATCAAATTCCCAAGTCCAATGCATCCCCCTAACAATCCCTGGTAGTAACCTCGCTGTTGGAGAGTAACGATATCAGACACAATCATCATAGTCAGAGAGTTGATGCCTCCCATTGCAATTCCCGCTAGACCCCGGGAAAAATACAACGCTGGCGCGTCTTGTGCAGTGGCACAAAGAATATCTCCAATGGCGAGCAGGAATACCGCACTAAGATATATCTTCTTGCGACCAAAGATGTCCGATAGTCGCCCGTATAAGACTTGGAACACTGTGTTTGCGATCAATGTAGATGTCCCAGCCCATGCAATTGTATCGGTCGCGTCCAAGTCGGCAGCCATTTTCGATAAAGCGACGGCAATGCCATTCTGATCTGCGTAGGCGACCAAGAAGGCGCCTGCTAGGGTTGAGAAAACAACCAGTAGCCGCGTTCGGGACAACAGGTTGGTTTGGTCAAACAGAGCTGCTTCTGCTTTAGCCTGTAGCGAATCGGCCATGGTGAGTGCAGTAGATTTGCAGCCGCCTCGAATGATTGAAATTGTCTTAAAAATCTCTGGGAAGCAGATTCGTCCTTGCAATCGAAAGTCAAGAATACAGCAGAATATTTGAAAGAGGATTCGTATAATTCTTTACGTGGGTAAGGGAATCAAAGGCGGCAGTTCTGAAAGGAAGAGAAAAATGTCAGATAATCCTATAAATACAAGCGTCGGACGCTAAGGATGAGGAATCCCTGCTTGCATTCATTTGAAGGATTTGCATAGCGCTAGTAAGGATTCATATTTTAAGATTATTTTAGAGCCAATCGGCTTTTTTTTAAAGTAAATAAATCGCTCAAAATAAAAGTATCTGATAGAAATATAAAGCATTCGATAAATAATCTATTGAGATAATGAATCAAACAATTGTGGTGTTTTCTGCAACTCTAATTTATGATAAACTTAAATTTTCAACCCTTGCTAGCGCTGTGCGAATTCTCCGAATGAATACGGTAACCTATGGGTCATATAGAACTATAATTTATTAGTTCGGGACGGGAAGACCCGCGCTTCAAAAGAATTGATAAGACGTGCTACATAGTAGTCACGTTTCCTGAACTGCAGTAACCGAGAGTTGTTCCGCCAATGATGTTACTAGAGCCCAGACAGACTAGAATCAAATCCGACTGAACCTCAATGTGCTAGTCTTATAGAATCTGGGACGTCGTCTACCTCTAAGACTGGAAATAATTCATCTCAAACCAACATAGCATTTCATTGCTTCACAGTACTGAGCGGATACTTGCGAAAATGGCAGAAAAGGCAACAGAAAGTGCGATGAGCACAATTCATGGAGTCGGCGCTAGCAAGATCCAGAAAGTAAAGGCGAAGAAGAAATCTCTAGTAACCTTTGTTGGTAGGAGATCCTATGAGAATTTATGATATGCGGCTAATTTTATTCACTTATCAGTTGGAGGAAGTGCTGGGTTTGTGGAAGGACTAATCTGCCATCCTCTTGGTGAGTTTGAAAATTGTTATACAATAGAGACTATCTGACTTGACATAGATACAATCAAAGTCAGAATGCAACTATCACAAAGCACTGGAGAGGTACAATTACATACGATGTTTTCAAAAAATCCGAAAAGAACTAATTCTATTATCACAAAGGGTGCGCGGACGGGTCTTTTTAGAACCGGATACGGTATCGTCAAATCCGAGTCTCTTTCTGCGTTGTGGAGGGGGTCAGGACCGGTCTTGACTGGTATTGTTCCGAAGATGGCGGTGCGATTTACAAGTTTTGAGACATACAAGCGGCTGCTTTCAGGGCAACAAACTTCGACTTTGTCTAACACAAAGCTTCTTGCAGGTTAGTATCTTGTTTCACAAGCATTCAAACTGCAGTTCCTTGCAATTCGAACTAATCATGATAAATGTGTACAGCTGCTCTCTCCGCGGGAGTTACCGAGGCAGTCGTTATAGTAACCCCTATGGATGTAATGAAGATTCGTCTTCAAGCTATACAAAAATCCGGGGACCAGAGTGCCTTTCAAGTACTTCGACAGATGATCAAATATGAAGGTTTCCAAGTTCTTTACAAGGGTGTAGCTCTGACCGCACTTCGACAAGGAACGAATCAAATGGGTAGGGCGCGATTTCACTCTCTCCTTCTTCCAAATCGTGAAATGATTTCAGCTTACATTGTCACTAGCGAACCTTTACACCTACACGAAATTGACAGACTGGCTCCGTGCTAGACAGACACAATATCAAGACTCGAGACTGCCCATATTTCAGCTTATTGGCGTTGGCCTATTTGCGGGATCTATGGGGCCTCTGTGTAATGGCCCAATAGATATCATTAGTACGTCTTCCCTGTAGTCGAGAATAATTTATTGATAATTTTGAATAGAAACTCGAGTTCAACAGTCTGCAAGACCTCCAGGAAAAGGTCCTATCACACATGCTACAGATCTCGCAAGAAGGATCGTAGCAAACGAAGGCATTCGGGGTCTCTATAGAGGCGTTACTCCGCGAATATTAAGAGTCGGCGTTGGTCAAGCTGTAGTGTTTCCAGTTTATGAATTGCTTAATGAACTAGTCAACAAGGCATAAGGTTTTCTATATAGATTAAGACTACCCTTCTTTGTTTATATAATAAATTATTTCAGACATTTCACTGAAGAGAATCTGGAGTTATGATAAGTAGTATTGAAGTATGAAATTAAATTATAGCTCTCACCATAAGAAGTTTGAATTACCACTGAGCAGGTAAGGAGACTAGGGTTTACCATCCCCAATTATCGCCCCAGCAGCGCGGGGAAATGTCACTCAAGCGGTAGATACTCACGGTAATGGAATGCAAACCAAAAATGGGAGAATTAAAGACGATAATGAGATGAGGCAAGTGCTAGGAAAGAACTCACGATTGCTTCAGCCTTTTCCCCAGCATTGTAGCTTCTTTTAGACTTTATTACCTTCTGAAGGCTGAATAATTACAGTTGAAGGCGAGGTAGTGCACCGGCTCGACCGGGTCATCCAGTAGGCTTCCGACCTTAGCGCATGCCTGTCGCCCTCAAACATCTCGTCATCGCTTGCCAAACCCCTTTCAGCAACAATGCCAACTGCTGATGAGAATTTCGCCGGCTAGCAAGGCAAAGTAGAGAATGAATTCTTCAAGACCGTCTCCGTCGCGTTTTCTCTCCCAGACGATGATACCTATGTCTACAGAGCCGAATCCTTCGCCATGACTTTATCACAAATTTCACAACTACCAGAGCTGAAGTACAAGTACCAGGCGCATGGGCAAGCAATACAGGTATGTCTTCCTCATCAATGCGATGTTAACTAACCAGGTTCCATCTGCAGACGTGACAGCATACACCTCCATATTTCTTCCCACCACAGACACCAACAAAGCGTTAACAGCATTCTCCTCAAACGCAAAGAAAGGCTCTCCTCGCGAAACAGTTGCTAAATACCTGCAATCGCGGCGGATATGCGAGTACAATATTCCAAAGTCGAAGAATCATGTCAATCCGTACCTCGATCTATGGGCGGTGTCGTGCCAGCTCACTTCCTTCCTAGGTCCCCTCTTATACCAGTCCTATGCGCGTCCTGCAAATGCGAAGAGAACCCACCCTATACTTCCCATTTTATACCACCACGTCGGATGTATGGCGCCGATCTATGAAGCTCTATACACCGGACCAAGGCGATTGCTACAGGAGGAATTCTCATAAACTTCTTCGATCGAAAAAGACGTCCAAACTGTCTGGACCTGACTAGTCTCGTCAGTTGTGCTGAATACGTAATAGATATAGGGCACTTCTTCTTACATGAAAGCTACACGCCTGTCAAGAATCTAACTAATTCAACATGCGATCAGGAGGTACGTACATCGTTAGGTTTTGGAATATACTTGGAATTTGCTACCCTTATACAGGCATACAAATCGACGGGCTGCCGCAGCCCTAAGATAAGCGTCATAATCATGCAATTTCACGAAGCAGCTAATTACAGGCAGTGCTCATGGCTAATAACACGGCGGAAGTTGTCACTCTGATGTCAAGTAGAGCGGTATGCATGTACCCTTTGCTCCGATTGACACATCAATGTGTATATTGGTTTAGTGGAGATCGTACTCCGATTCGGATGAATGGATCTAAATGTGTCACGTCACACAAAACTCCTGGTCAAGACCTTCTTGCGAGGGCAATGAGGACAGAGCTTGGGGGAAGAGATATCTTGGTGATCAAAGATACTTTGTTATCCCACTACTTTTCGGTCACAGAGGAAAGAGTGAATGGACAATGGACATTCGGATGGAGAAGATGATAAAATAAAGACTTGATTATTTAGGGTTATTAAGTGGTGATTGGTAACTTGCAAGACAGACGATACCTATTCTCCAGAAGTACTCTCGACTTCCAATTGGTGAGAGAGGCTGATTTCGATTTGTTCTCTGCCAACTGTCTAGGTGTCGAGGTACCCAACTGTCAATAATTGTAGCGATTTCAAGAAAGCCATGCTCTATACGGCATTGTACAAAGTGACGAGGAGTGAAAGCGTTTGACAAATATAGAAGAGGAATTTTTTACAGTAATCATCTTAGAACGGGTCATTGGCTGGAACTGCCTGAATTCGAGATGATATTATTGGCGACTCTAGTTATTGATTAATGGTGTGTAGAGGTTAGAGACAAGATAGATAATATATCAATTGTTTCCTATAAAGATGTTCCACTTTTGTTTTTTTCCGATAATAATCTTTGTGATATTGCGGCACCTATACTAAAAGACAAGATGGCTTTTAAGCGCCTATCTAATTAAAATGATAAGCGCTTAAAAACAAATATAATAATTATTATTATTTTAAAGCTTAATTGATATTCATTTTAAGATTTTAACTAATTAAAATGAAATTAATAGTCTTAGCTATTTAATCTTTTTTTTCTTAATATTTGTCACGGATCGTACTCAATCGCAGTTGCGATTGCTTACATACGCGCTTGCGCATGTATACAATTACGTATATATAGCTAATATATAGGTATATTTTATAAACACTTTGCTCCCGATTTTGTAATTGTAGATTCTAAGAATAAATTATATTCTATTCTTATAGTTTTTTTAAAACAAAGTATTATATTATTTATAATTTATTATATAATTATATAGTTATTTAATAATTATTCAAATAATATCTTATAATTATAATATCTTTTTGAATGAATTATATATTAATATTATTTATAGAAAAAAAATCTATTTCAATTAAAATTTAATAAAGATATTCCTTTAAATATATAGAGTTATAAATATTATTGTTATATCTTTTATCTTATTTAATTTGGGTTATAATTTGTTTATTTTGAAAAATTTATATTATTTATTTATTAATTAAATTTTTATATTCAATAATAATTAATTTCAAAGGAATAATAATAATATTTCTTATAATTCTAGTATAAATATAGGTAGATATGGAAAGAGCAAAGAATATAAAATCAATTCCTCAATTGAAATATTAATTCTTAAGAATAATAATCTAATATTAATTTTTCAAGATTATAAAGAGTAAATGTTAATAATAAAAATATTATAAAATGAAATTATAAGGTTTTAATTAATATTATTATAGTATAGTTCTAATACTACTTGTTTATTTCACTCATTTATATAACAATAATAATATTATATAGATTCCCCTAAGAATTACAAAGTTTAGACTTCTAATATTCCTATTGCTTTTATTAAAAGAATATCTTTTATTTCTAAAAAAAAGAAAAATAAAAAAAAGACTTATTTATAAAATCAATTTTTATAACAATCTCTTTTTTCTTTTAAGAATAATTCTTATTTACTAATAATTATATTTAATTACAATTTGTTATTCTATTGAATATCCTATTTTTATTTTGATACTATTCTTATAAAAAAATTGTATATTCCAAAGCCTATTAATCTTTTATTTAAACTTAAAGATAGTATAAAACTAAAAATAAGCTTATAGTAACTATTAGTTATAAAGCAATTAAAGCTATATGTAATATTATTTGCTATAAAATTGCAATATTAATCTTATATAATAAATTAAATAAAAAAGAAAGTTTAAAAACACCTATACTTCTTATAAACCTAAATCCCTTATTTAATAAAATTCTAATTAATTAATAAACTTATAATAATATATAAAAACCCTATAGAGATTGATTATATATAAATTGAATACAAATATTAGATTATACCTAATAATACTCAGAAAGATAACTTTATAATATAATATCGAAAATTCTAATTATTTATTATTTAAATAGAGATTATAAATAATAAGATTCTCTTTTATAATCTAAAAAAAAAGATATTTGATTTTTTTTAATAAATAATTAATCTATATATTAAGAATTATAATATTATTAAAAAATTAATTGACAAATTTATAGAAATTAATAAACTCAAGATTATTATCCAAAAACACAATTATTATTAGTTAAATAAGAAAATATTAATTAAAAAAGCTAATATTATTACTTTTATATAAAATGTATTTAAAAGTATAATTTGAATATATATTAATATAATTCTATCTATTCAGATTCATTCCTAATTCACTTTTTACATTTCTATTGATTATATAGAAACCTTTAAATCAAATAATACTCTAGCTTTAAGAAATAGCTTTATTTATAGTTCTATATTCCTTATTATAGAAGTTAATTGTAATATTATTTCTTATATAAACAATTTTAGTGTTATAGTAGAAATCCAGGAAATTGAAGAAATTAAAGATTTTTATAATATTAAGGAAAATATTAAGAAGAATCTAAATCTAAAAGTTTAAGTAAAAACTATTGATTTTGTTATAAATATAAAAAACTAATATTTAAATTAAAATATTTAAATTGAAGTTTTTATTTAAATATAATTTAGAATATAAGATTTTTTAATTTAATAAAACTAATAAGAGATAATTTTATAATCCTATTCTATATATTCTTGAAAAACGAATATTTCTATAATATTTAATCTTTTATAGATTCTAGAGCGAATGGTTATATTTTTATTAATAAGATACTTCTTTTATTACTATTTCCTATATTTAAACCTTATATCTTATTATTTAATATTATTATTAAAATCAAAAGCTATAATGGTATAAAAGATAAAGCTATCACTTATTACATATTCCTTAATTTTATAGTTAATACTTAATAATAATTATATATATTATTCTTTATTATTAATTTAGATTTATATAATATAATCCTAGATTATATATAGATAATAAAGGCTTGAATTAAGCTAAATTGCTTTAATTAATATCTCGATTAATCTATAGAACATTTTCCTATTATTTCTTTATTAAAAAATATATCTTTAACTAGGGATAATTTATAAACTTTTAGAATTAGTTGTTTGAGATAGTAAAATACTAATAATCAAAATATCCAATTAGATAAAATATATTATAAACTAGATAACAGTTGATAGAGTATAATAACAATTCTATCAAATATATTTATTATTCTTTCTTAAGATATTAAAAAGATGTCTTCAGCATTTATTGAAATTTAAGTTTCAATAAATCTAGAGAAGAAATCTATTCTCCCTAAAATCCCTATTCGAGTTGTATATAAATCTTTATCTTTTTGTATCTCTAATATATTTAATATTTATATGCTCAAATTAATATAATTCTAATTTATTTATAAAAAGAATAAGAATTATGAGATCTTTATAATAATATATAAAGAGATTAATTATATTATATCACTTTGATATTTTAATTAAAAAATCAAATATCGCTTTTCTACTGCAATTACTACTTTAAAAAATTCCAAACTAGAAACTATAATTATCCTTAATTATATTATTATGAATATTAAAATAGAATCTCTAATCCTTATAAACTATCAATTATACCACCAAGTATTCTTTAAATATAAATCCAATATTTTATTTTTCTTTCAATTGTATAATTATAAGATTATATTAAAAAAAGAAGGTAAAAAAACTCTTAAATATAGTTTTTTATATAAGATATTATTTAAATAACTAAAAATCATTAAAGAATATATTATTAAGAATCTAGCTAAAGGATTTATAAAATTCAGTTAGGTTTTATTCATAATTTTAATTCTTTTTATAAAAAAGCCGAATGGAAGCTTATAGTTCTATATAGACTTTCAACTATTCAATTCTTTAATACATAAAGACAGATACTTTTTATCTTTTATTAATAAGATATTCATATAATTTATTAGTATAAAAATATATATCAAATTGAATATTCAATAAGTGTTCTATTATATTCGCATAAATCCTACTTTTAAAAAATATACTATTTTTTATATTCAATATAATTCCTATAAATATAAAGTTTTATCTTTTAAATTAATAAATAGTTCTATGATTTATTAATAATATATAAATAATATTTTATTTAATTATTTAGATAATTTTTATATTGCTTATTTAAATAATATTTTTATATATTCTGAAAATAAAGATAAATATAAGAAATATATTAAATACATTCTTAAGCAATTTAAATCTATTAGCCTTTAAGTAAATCTCAAGAAATGTAAATTCAATATCAAATATATTAAATATTTAGATTTTATTATCTCTACAAAAAATATATAAATTAATTCAGAGAAAATTGAAATAATTGTTATTTGAATTTATTCTATTATTATAAAAAATGTTTAATTATTCTTAGATTTTTATAATTTCTATTA